TCAGATTTTTTTTCTTATATTTTTGACTTATTACTTCACAAGTTTGACTTTTAATTTCAGAATTCTAACCATTTATCTTTATTTTTTACCTTTTATTTAATAACCGTGACTTTTCTGTCACATTTTAAACCCTTTATCATAGGATTCTGCTGTTAGTAGCATAATTGTTCATTTTTCCATCATGATTTTTGAATTACTCGTTCTTGCACCACATCCTGTAACAAAACATGAAGCTCTGATTCTCTACGACTGACTGAGACTGAGAGGAAACTCCAGCCTACTGCTATCTGTAGTATGTAAAGTGTGGACACTGGGGGGAATCAGCGGTGAGTCATGGGGAGGTTGGGTTCAGACGGGAGCTACGCTGGAGAAATTATTTGGAAATTTGAGGATTTCACTAAAGTACTGGCACCGACTGACTGTATCCTCCCGATGATGGATCAGGGGTTAAGTTGGGCTGACTTGATGAATGATTAATGCATAAACAGTGATAAGTAGAGCCGCAATGATTAATCCACAAGTCTTCAGCTAATAAATCCAGTAAAAATCAAATATCTGGTTTCTCTCCTCCTTAACAATGAATCCGACGTCAACATTTTTCACCATTTTAGGACTTTACAGAACAAACAGCTCGATTATTGTAGAACATGTTGGACAGACGAAGCCCAGATATGCTGAGATATGACCAACATGCAGGCAGCTAATACCAAATATCTGATTAACAGGAATGCTAACATATTGAAGCAACAACGAGTGATTAATAAATGTTGTTTGCTTTTGATGAACAGTGAAAAACTTGAGCTCCTGAAAACACGATGTTGCTTCAAACTGATTAAATCTTTGACACAAAACATTCAAACAGTCGATGAGAAGAGAAAACCTGCAGGTTGTTTAAATACCACACAAAAATAAATGTTAGCAGACAGACAGCTAGCCCGGAAGTTAGCATGACACTGAACCTGACACCTGATTGTTAACCTGACACTTAGCCAGACAGTTAGCATGAAAGTTAACATGACACTGAACCTGACACCTGAGTGTTAACCTGATACTTAGCTAGACTATTAGCTTGGTAGGTAACTTTACAGTTAGCGTAAAGTTAACCTGGCAGTTAGCATGACACGGAATCTGACACATGAGTGTTAACCTGATAGTTAGCCTGACTGTTAGCTTGGTAGTTAACATGACACTGAATCTGACACTTGAGTGTTAACCTGATACTTAGCTAGACTATTAGCTTGGTAGGTAACTTTACAGTTAGCGTAAAGTTAACCTGGCAGTTAGCATGACACGGAATCTGACACATGAGTGTTAACCTGATAGTTAGCCTGACTGTTAGCTTGGTAGTTAACATGACACTGAATCTGACACTTGAGTGTTAACCTGATAGCTAGCCTGACTTTTAGCTTGGTAGTTAACATGACACTGAATCTGACACTTGAGTGTTAACCTGATAGCTAGCCTGACTTTTAGCTTGGTAGTTAACCTTACTGTTAGCCTAAAGTTAACCTAGCAGCTAACATGACACTGAATCTGACACGAGTGTTAACCGAATAGTTAGCCTGACAGTTAGCCTGGCACATTAGCCTGACAGTTAGCGTGATGGTTAATTTGACAGTTAGCCTGACAGCTAATTTAAACAGTTAGCATGACGATTAACCTGACAGTTTACAGTTAGGCTGGCCTGAACCAGGTTAGCTTCCTGAGCCTGAACTATGTTAAATCTGCTTTTTAGAACTGAGTGAATCAAGTCAGACTTGAGCTGATGTGAAATGCTGTTTTCATTTGGTCAGCTGTCTTCATGGGTGTAATCGGTGTCCATCTGAGCTGAAACAGAGGCTGCAGTCATGTTTGGAAACCTCACACCGTTCACATGCTGGAAGCAGCCAAGAGATACACCAATAAATCATGCCTTTGTGCTGGAAGCCCATTTCTCAACATGTCTGGGTGTGACCGTGACGATCCTGGGAATGGAGAACCCGACTGGATTAGCTGCTAGAAAACATTTGGTTACAGTGAAGGGAGGCCTCTCCGACGGCCGGACAGTTTGTTCATCACCGGCTCAGTTTGCAGCGTGTCTCGGATGCAGCTGAAGGCCCGGAGGCCTTTGGTGTGTAACATGTTGTATGTAGAGCAACATGTGATGCGTGTTGCAGGACCTGGACGTAAATCAGGAGCTGGAGACGGTTAGCGGCTCGTTTGGTCGGGCCTCCGGGGGAAGCACCTGTCTTCTGGATCCGTCCCTCCCCAGAGCGCCGTTACAAACGCGAGCTCTTGATCCGTTTCGTGCGATGAGCGGCGGCACGGCAGCAGCTGCTCTCTGTCTGCTTCGGCCACGACGACGATGCCGCCGCCGAGAACACACACAAACATTTACACATGTGGAAGCTCTTCTCTGAAATCGCACATCTGTTGCGTGTTTGGTTGCGGGCGCTAAACACTCTCCGCTGCTCTCACGTACTCAGACTTTACCGTCGAGGTCTTCATCGTCTGGTTTCCTGGAGTCCGGCCAGAGACTCGGACGTGACCAGGCATCGCTTGTTCACGCTCACAGCTCTTTGCGTAACGAGCGACTTCCGGGGCAGAGCTCCAGAAACACACCGATTAACCTCGACAGCAGCAACACGTAATAAAAGGTTCAGTAATAACGATGATGCAGCCCGTTGTGCTGCTGCTGCTCTGAGTTTGAGTCGTTTTCTGATGGTTTTCTGTCTCTTTGTGGGTATTTGTGGTCATTTTTGGTGATTTTGTGTCACTTTGGTGTCATTGTGTGATTCTTTGTGGTTGTTTGACGTCTCTTTGTGGTCATTCTCTTCCTGTTTGTGGTAGTTGTGGGTAATTTTGTGTCTCTGTGGTCATTGTGCATCGCTTTAGTGTCTACTTGTGATGGTTTTGTGTCTCTGTGGGGTCACTCTAGTCCTCTTTGTGGTGATTTTGGGGTAATTCTGTGTCTCTTAATTGTTTGCTTTGTCTTTGTGGTCACTCTGTGCCTGTTTGTGGTGATTTTGTGTCTCTGTGGTTGTTTTTTTCTTGTCATTGGTGTCATTTTGTCTATTTGTGGTCATTTTGGGTCGTTTTTGTGTGTCTTTGGCGTTATTTTGTTTGTCTTATTGGTTTTCTTTGCGGCCTTATTGTGTCGTTTAACGTCTTGTCGTGTTTTTGTGTCTCTTTGGTGTTATTTTGTGTCACTTTCTGGTCAGTGGTGTCATTTTATGTTGTTTGTTTTACACTTACATGTCTTTGTTGTGGCTTTTTGCCTGTTCGTGGTCATTTTGCATCGCTTCAGTGTCTATTTGTGATTGTTTTGTGTCTGTTTGTGGTCATTTGTGGTCATTTTGTGTCTATTTGTGATGGTTTTGTGTCTCTGTGGGGTCACTCTTTGCCTGTTTGTGGTCATTTTGTGTCATTTTCTGGTCACTGGTGTCATTGTATGTCATTTGTTTTACATCTTACATGTGTTTGTTGTGGTTTTTTTGCCTGTTTGTGGTCTTTCGTGGTCATTGTGCATCGCTTTAGTGTCTATTTGTGATGGTTTTGTGCCTGTTTGTGTTCATTTTATGTCGTTTTCCATGGTGGTCACTGTGTTCTGACTCCTTTTCTATCGCAGCAGCATGAAGGTTTCCAGCAGTTTGTGTTGCAGAGTCTCTTCAGACCGACATGGACCAGCCTTCTGCTCCACCGGTCCTCCTTCCTCCTGGTAGGTTCTAACCATCGACCACAACACCTTCTGTTGTTCTGATTCAGTTATTAGAGTCTCACGCTGCACGTTTTCCTGAGTGTCCACAGGAACCCCGTCATCAGTGTTTACACCCGGCGTTAGCACACAGTGGCAGATCTGACCGATGAATATTCCTCCTCTGTGCAGAATCCAGGAGTCGTCTGCAGGTTGTTGGTCCGGCTGCAGTGAAACGCTGCAGACGTGGAGGAATGTAGAGAAATCTTCTCTGGCAGCAGAAGCTCGTAAATTAGCTCCGCTGAACCAAACTGCTGAGATTATTGCCTAATTCTTTCACTGGGAGTCGCATGAATCAGTGAAGCTGAGTTTCAAAGGCGGCGGCCCTCGCTCAGCTTCCCGTGCTGCCTTTCATCGTCCTCCCTCTCCGGGCGGCGACGGCAGGAAGACGAGCGCTCAGCGGTGAGCCTCAGATCCACCATCACAGACACACAGCGGTTACGTAACGAGTCGAGGCGGCCGCTGATTGCTCCAGCATATTCCCAGAAACTTCACATCAGTGGAGTTTATCAGTTTGATTCACCGCCCGCTTTACTGGTACAATAACTCAGGTTGTTTCCAGTCAGATGAAGGGTCCAGTCACAATGATTCTGCACTAAACTCAGTCGCAGTGCAGCTTCAACAAACCTCTAAAGGATCATTAAGGACACGGAGTTAAACTAAAAACTGCACCTAAATCAGTCAAAATATCTTTGTTTTAAGCATAATTGCTGTTATTTTTGACAGTTTTGAGACTATTGCACCTTTTCATTGTGTTTTTCTGACACTTGTTGGCAGATTTTTTAAGTTTTTAATGTTTTTCTTTTCTTTTACAGTAAATATGCATTTTTCCAAATCATAAATCTGCACCCTGACATGTTTGATCTGAATTAAAAGACACGTTATTACAGATTAAATAATAAATTACAAAGCATGGATCTGCCAGTAATTCATTTCTTCTGTTAGAAGTAATAATGAATGCTATATATAAATATTTTTAAAAAATAATTTAAATGAGCAAAAATATTATTTAAAGGATAATTACAGTTTTTTGATTTTGTTTTTTTTTTAGTTTTTCAACTATTCCACCTTTTCACTGTGTTTCTCTGACACTTGTTGGCAGATTTTCAAACGTTTTAATTTTTTTTTACAGTAAATATGCATTTTTCAAATCACAAACTCTGCGTTTTAATTAGCATTTTTTAATTTAACAGATTATTTGGTTAATAGATCTGTCAGTTATTAGTTTCTTCTGTTATAAATACTATATAATATATATTTATCATTAAAAAAGCATTTAAATCAGCAAAAATATAGTTATTTTAAAGATATTTGCATTTATTTATTTTGCAATACAGTATTCCACCTTTTATTTTTAAACATATTTTTCTGATGCCCTTGTTGTTTGATTTTAGGAGATTTTTTAAACATTTTTTTTAACAGATTTTTTTATTGTCGGACCTGCACAGATACGTTTATGTGGACTCTGAACAAGAGCGTTCATGCATCTGGTGTGTCAGTTGCTTCCTCAGTAAACTAATTAATCAGGATGATTTCGGTATCAGAGTAATGTAGACATAAATGTGCACGTTTGCTTCTTTTTAAATAAATAATCTGATCTATTTCCACTTGGACTGAGCTCCTCTCAGCCTCCTGTCGGCTAAACTAAACACCTCTGCAGCGTCTCGGTGCTCCGCCATCGCCACAGAACAACAAGCGGCTCTTTGTGAGGAAACTGATGAGCAGCTTCACCTTTAGGAACGTCGTCGCTCAGCACGTCCAGGAAGTCCATCGCCGGGTTCAGCTCTCCGTTCTGCAGGACGCTTCTCGGCTTTGGGTTCTTCGGGTTCTTGGCCTCGCTCAGGTGCAGGAAGCTGTCGAGCTTTTTCGCCTCTGATTCAGAGAGACCTGGAGGAAGTGAGGACGCAGTCATACGGCAGAACACTGGCAAGATGCACACAGGAAGTACACAGAAACATGCACAGTCAGTGTCTGCTGCTGCATGAATAACACGTCTCCAGCTGAACAGAGATGACAGATTCTAACTGAGCTGCTCACGTGGACACGAAGTAAAGAGATCAGATGAGATGCAGCCAAAGAATTTAAACAAATACAACTTTTCTGGCAGGTTCCAAGTGGTTCGGTCCACCGTGAATCACAAAAAATACGTTTTTTAGATACATAGATAGATCATTTGCAGGAAATTATTCTTATAATAAACATTTCCAGGATGAAGTATTATAATCTGTGCAAAATATGCAGAATAGAGAATAAATAATGTGCAGAAAATGTCTTGCATATCTAAAATTTTAATATAAAATAGAGAAATATGTATGTAAACAAATGGAAGTCTTTCAGAATAAAAGCACTCCTGCACAACCTCTTCCTGTGAATGGAGAACAGCAGCGTTTGTTCTAATTCCGGTTATTGTTAAGTTTGTTATTATTAATGAATTAATTAAGACCAGAATGGACCCACATCATGTCCCGTCTGTTAAAGACACGACATCACGGTGCTGCTGTGTTCAAACAATCAGAGCGTGTAAGAACGATAAGCGTCTTTGTTTTTGTTCCACCACAAACCAGGAAGCAGCCGATAAAAGTCAGAAGTCTGGAGGCAGAGAGTCAAACAGAGAGAACATGGTTTGTTATCAGGAGCTGATATTTTCTTCATGAGCCAGTTTTATTCTACCAGGCTGCTGCTGCTGTTGAGTTTAGAGTCCATGTCGGTGCTTCCTTTACCGGCGAAGCTGCGGTTGACGTGGACGAGGCCGTGATGGTTCCTGATGAAGGCTCCTCGAGGAACCACAGAGACGTCCTGGTCGATCTGGTGAACCGTCACCGAAAGCCTCGTCTCCTCGTTCACTTTGTTCTGAAACCAGAAGCAGGAAAATGATTATTACTATTTTAAAGACATTTACCGTTAAATGAAAGAAAAGACCTGAAAGATAGTCAATAATTTGGGTTGTTTCATAAATAATGAATAATTTTACAGATTTTTCCCTGTTTTGTTCATTTATAGATAATAAATAGTGAAATCACTGATTTTTACATTTTTTTTAATTTTTAAAATTATTTATTTTTAGCATTTTTCAGTTCCTACTATACATAATTTTCGTATAATTGTAAATATCTGTAAAATAAAGATAATTCTGCTGATTTCAATACAGTAAAACTGGTCTAGTTAAACAGGCAAATGCTGTAGAACAAATAAACATATATGTTAAAAAAAAAGATTTAGATGCAGACATTATTGAAAGAGAAAAAAAAGTATTCATTGTTGAAAAACGCTGCAACAAACAAAAAAAAACCAAAACTTAAACTATGACCACATGATGACATCTGTATGTTTTTTACAACAAATGTTAATTTGTTATTTTACAACGTGTGACTGTAGACTCAGAGTTTTGTTGGATTAAAATGTCCTACAGAGTCACATTATTTTACACACATTTGCTGTTATTTTCACTGTTTTTACAGTTGTTGTGTTTTTGTGTTTTTTTTAGCAGGATTTTGTTTTAAAGCGGTTCTACGTCTACAAAACGACATCACAGATGACATCAGAAGCTGAACCTGCAGAGATGCGTTCGCACGTCACATAAGAAGGAGCATCAATGAATAAATCCTTTAACATGTGACGGGGGGACACTAGGACCCAGGAACGGTTCATTAAGTCCAGGTGAGCAGCTCACCTGGTCAGAGGAGATAGACGCTCAGGTGTGTCAGTTTCACTGCTTCACTTCCTCAGAATGTGTTTTAATTAAGATTGCGTTATTGTTCAGGTGATGTCGGGGTAAACACACACCCTGAGGTATTGTGTTTTTATGTAAATATGGAATTAGACTTTTTGTTGCAGACTAAACGTTATGCAACAGAACCGGGTTCTGCCAGCAGCTGGTTTCTTTCATGCGGGTTTCTAACGGTCCAGGAGTGGCGGCTGCAGGTAGGACAACACGTCTTTATGAGGAAGCTCTGATTACATTCATTGTGCAACAAAAGTGCTGTTTGCTGCCTGATTCCACCTGTTTGTTCTGTGTTTGTTTTCTCTCTTGTGGTTGAATTATACAACCAGTGGACCGGATGGATTATCGGCTGAGTTTGACCTGCTGAGTTTGTGGCGATTGTTTGAGGTTTGCTGCGAGTTCAGAGGGTTTTCTGTTGGAAAGTTTGGTTTGTTTCATTCGTAGTTTTGGTGATTCGCTGACGGCAGTCTGCAGGAAAACTGTCCAACCTTGAACCTGCTGGACAGAGACTGATGCTGTGATCCTGAGTTTAATGAAACTAACGCTGACTATTTATTTTTCTGAAAGTTTGGTCTGCTGCTGATCTCAGTAAGTTTCAACCTGCTGAAAAATACACACTTCTGTTGAAAATGATTAAAGTGACCCAGTCAGGACGCTGTGCGTTAAATGGAGGCCACATAAACAGATGTTCAGGCCTCTAGAGGCAACAAGAAAATAGGCATGAAGTAGTTTGTATGTGAAGCTGACCTCAGGAGTAAAGAATAGAAGTAAATTCTCTTCTGATTTGCAAAAACATTTTTTTGAAACATGCTAAATTCCTCACAAGCTGCATGAAGACGTGAATCTCAAACGTCTTTCTATGAATAGAAACTTTCAATAACAAACAGAAAGTCAGAAAATATAATCACACCTCAGAATATTTGATATTAAATGTGTAAAAATCTATAATGTTAAGAACTGCATTCACAAAAAGAAAAAAAAATGTTTTAATTGACTAATTAATTGTAAAAAAAAAAAAAAAAAAAAAGTTCACATTTACATTTACATTCACATTATTGAATTTCCCTTCTGGGATGAATAAAGTATTTTTCATTTCATTTAAAATCCGTGTTTCCATAAACGGTCATTTGGTCTTTATAAGCTCTGACTGTATGTTAACTGTATTTAAATCAGCAGAATTATCATTAACTTACAGATATTTACCGTGATGTGAAAGAACAGTGAAGGGATTAAAAATATTAAATCATTTCTTTAACTGTAGTTTTACAGATCTTCCTTAAATAACAGCTAATAACTCGTAAAATTACAGGAAAAAGTATGAATTAAATGTTGACCTACAGTTTTACTATAGATGTAAATTCACTGGACAATAAAAGAAGTCATTATTTTATAGATATTTGCTGCTGTTGTTTCAGCTAAATGGACCTTCCTGATGAAACAGATGCTTTCATTCTGTGTGGTTAAACTCTGGCTGCTGACCTGAGGTCTGTGTTTTCAACAGGTTTAGTTGTAGACACATGTTCATGCTGATCTCTAATCACTGCATCTTGTGTCGTGTGTTTGTTTGTCTGACAGATTGACGGGTTTATATTTTAATTGATCACTTCATGATCCTGTGACCAGGAGCTCCGTTGACCCACCTTGACCTGCGCCGCCTCGTCCTCTGACATTCTGGGACTCTCGACACGTTCGTACACGAACGACGGATCTCCGACGAACTGACCTCGAGCTGCTCCGGACACCTGGGCGACGGTCGAGTCGGTCGCAGGAGGCAGCAGGAACCAGTCGATGCAGTTTAAGCTGCAGGAGG